CATGCTAGGGGCAGGTTTTCATGGTCAAGGAATGATTAAGGAGATGGACGGCTGGGTCCATCAGGAAGTTCACTTTAGTCACTGTAGATATAGCTCATATTGTCTTTTGGCAGAAGCATTGTACCTTTGGACAGTCCCACATCATGTGTACCACGGTGCCCAGAGGACAAGATGTACAGTCTGGGCTAGGGCTCAATCCTAATAAGTATCTCTGCTGCGGTGTCACATATGCCCCATGACAAAACCTGAAATTAATAAATTGATGATTGGGGTTATGTGAGGCTAGTACACACTTTGGCCAAGCTTTCCCCCAATCTCTCTTCCTATTGAGGTCGGTCATGGTCCTTTCCCACTCCCTTACTCCTAATAATGGAGAATAATGCTTTTAAGCATAATTGCATTATGGGTAAACTGATCTGCCTTGGCAGAGGTTTGAGGGTTATCTAGATTTTTAAAGTTTCCCTCCACCCAAAAATGTGTTTTGGTCAATGTTGCTGTACTTGGATGTTTGACATTCATGGTACAGAATGATACATGTTCAGAATGTGACACTAACAGGCTGGTTTCAATTTCATCTGCTAAAGATGGAAATTTCTGTTGTACTCACCTAAAATCTAAGTTTAAGACTTATATCTTTCCTGCAAACACAATTTGTGACATCACATCTGGTTTTAAAGATGGTCCTCGTCCACACCAACAGATTTTCACATTCTGTAAGACTGTTGTGAAATTCCAATGTATCAACACGTCACAGTGGATATGTTATTGAAAGCATCAGGCATTTAGTGCAGCTATGGCTCTGGGATAAAAGCTGTTTTTAAGTCTACTTGTCCATGTTTTAATTGCCCTGTATCGTTGGCCAGAAGGTAGCAGTTCAAACTGATTGTGCCCGACTGCCCGGGGTGGTAATGGTCACTCAGAATGGTGTGAGCTTTATTGAGGCAGCAGGTGCTCTACAATTCTTCCAGAGATTCAGAGGACTGTGAACCTGCTAACTGAACCTTTCAATGGAAATAGATCAGTTACAAGTTCTTATTCAAACCAATGAGTACTTTTTATACATCTTTAAACAAGCCTCTTTGTATTCTTTTGTAGCTTCTATCTGAATCTCTGTGCTTTCAAGTTTAGTTTCAATCATGAGTTTCTGGTAGTACTTTCAAGCTTTATTTTACTGCTTCCGGATCACTTTCAGCTACATTGTGTCTGCAATAGGTTACTGCTAATGCTGCAAACCAAGCATTTGATGCTATTGCTTCATATTACAGCTTTTTTTTTTACGAAGAAGATATAGAAAATGCAATGTTTTTGCAACAGGTTAGTGGAGCTTAATTAGTGTTATTCAGACCTGTGAAAATGAGGGATGACAGCCATTGAATGGTATGATAAGATTCAAAGTGGCTAGCTTAATTAAAATGGTTGCAGGCAACAGACTCTTAAGGCATTACATTCTTGCCAAAAACCAACCAACAAACAAAAAACAAAATGAAAAACTCACCACCACCACCAATGACAACAACAACAAACAACACATATCTTTTGTGTTTTCAAAGTCCCCAAAATGTACAATAACAAACTACCTTCATAGCCTGACAACATTGAGACAGAGCACATTTTTAACTGGAAAAATACAGTATCTGTATGCAGATACAACTAATGAGATCATTAAAAGTTACTGTTTAAGCCTCTAAAACATAGTGATCTTCTGCTAGCAACATTGGCATTGTAGCTAATGTGGTGCCATTTTGGTGCCTTCAGGAGTTTTGAAGGAGTAAATGCTGCACTGAGAAATGTATCATTGTGCTGAAGCAAAATCGGCAATATCTGTAAGAACACAGTTTTTCCAATTGGAAACTGAGAGTACTGTATCCTCCCATTCTTGCTGGATTGAACTCTTGTGTTACTTGGACCTGAATACACAATAAAGAACTGGTGTATTACTAAAAGTGATGCATTCCAGTAAGGCTTGTACTTTGTTCACATAGAACAAACAAGTACTTATCTTCCTCTACCATCTCAACAACTTCCAGAACCACAGAAAGACCACCTTTTGGTTACTACTGCATCATACTCAGTTGACAGGCCCTGGCAATCGGTGAGTTAATCAGGTTAAAGCACTGGTTCATCATCCAAGTCAGATATGAAGACTGAAAACATCTTAATTCAATTTATAAGCTAATGGATGTTTTCATATTTGCATGATGTCAACCCTCATTTGTATTCTTCCGTCTGTGTAGCTGCAGGGAGGACGATCCATTGTAGAAGAATGTCCAGGAAGTAAATGGGGAAGAAATAACAATATAGCCAGTTTTATGATAGTATGTATTTAGGGCAGGTTCACCTGTGAGAATTAGCCATCATTTGGTCAATATGACAGTATATGTATTTAAATATTAATGGAAACCTGTGGAAAAATCTTTTCTTTTTTTCAAACATTACTGCCTGTCATTTTTCAAAGCATGTAGTTGTACATTGCTGAGTGTTCAGGCAGCCACAGGTTTTATTCCATTTGAGTATGTGATTAAAATTGACTTGAAGAAGGGGAAATGGCTAGCCTAGCTCTGTCTAGAGGTAACAAATTGAGTTTATTAGCACCTCCAGCATTCGTTAGAAAGTCACTTTTGGCTTTTCCCGTTTTAGGGGTCACCACAGCAAATCGGATGACTCGCATGTTGACACGTGTTTTATGGTGGATGTCCTTCCTGACGCACCCCTGAATCGAACCTGCTGCGCCTTGACCACTAGCCTACCAGGGACGGCTACCTCCAGCACTCATTAATTAACTAATTTTATCTTGCTTGTGTAGAAATAAAAATTCTCTTTGGGGGAATATGTGCAGGAGTGTTTCTTGGCCAATGACAGTTAAATTGCCAGACAACCAGGGAAGACTCCAGAAAGTTACCTAGTGAGCTGTAGTGGGTTCACTGAGTTGCCATGAAAATTGACAAAAGTGGTGATTCTGGGTCATTGAATGTCATATGTTCTAATCCCCTAAACAGTATTTGTCTGATTTGGAGGCATAATGTTAAAATACAATTATTTTGTATAGTGCCAGATCTCAACAACAACAACAAAATAATAATAATGTCAAAGTACTTCACAAAGTAAAGATCCTGAGTATAGAGAAAAATGCAACAAATCCCCCTTGAGCAAGCACTTGGTGACAGCAGGGAGGAAAAACTCCTTGTAATGGAAGAAACCTGCGACAGACCCCGGCTCTTGGTGGGCGCCTTCTGCCTCGACTGGTTGGGGTGAGTGGACAGAGGAGAGAGAAAAGAAAAAAATCCAGATACAACAAACACTGGGCAGGTTTATGTGGTCATTTCAAAATAAAAATAAAAATCTGAACTAACCATGTTTGATGTACTGTATGACATGAGTTCAGCAATGTCTCATCTCAAAACATAGTTTTCTCCACAGTGACCATGGCATACCATGTTCACAGATCTTACACCTGTTGCATGCAGATCCTCTTGGGTATTGGACATGTTGGCACACAGGCCAGAGACCCATGGCAGTAAAACATACTCTATTGGATCCAATTAGGCTAACTACAATTTAGACACTGAGAGACTTGGGTCTGAGATTGGGTCTTGGACCCATCAAGCCCAGTAGTATACACAGCTGTGACTGACGATGGCTGGGGTGAGTTATGCTGGTAAAAGGAATGAACTTCCACATGTTTTGTTCACATTAAAACCTATATAGCTTATAGTTAGGGCTGGATCAGGTGACCCTGAGCCTTCTGGTGCCATGATGCTCTGAGTTTCTCTCCTCTCCTCTCCTCTCCTCTCCTTTCCTCTTTCTCCATGCATCTATGCCACCATTATGCATCACTAACTTTGTCTCCTCTCTCCCATAATGTGTCCTCTCTCTCTCCCTGTACCTTTCTGCAGGTAGCCCTGGCTCTGGAGCTCTACGTTTCTGATGAGAAGTCACCGGCCTCATCACCCACATGAACCACACTTAACCAAATTGGCGGTTTTTAACACTATCCAACATTCAGACAGCTAAACCAGTGTTAACCTTGTATTTTGCTTTTTCTTTGTCCCACTCTGTGCAGAAGAATCCATCTTCTTTGATCTGGTAAGCACCGTTTTGGACTTGTAGCAGGACATTCATGGCTGGCTGTTTGGAACAACAACTTTCAGGTAAGATGAAGGGTTTATGACTTCAGTTCTCCAAGGTCAGATATACAAATATATATAAATGGCATGCAAAGATCTCTTTCAGATTTTTAATCTAAATCCTCAACTCAGCTCTTTCTCAATTAAAGAGATCTCTTATGTACAATAGTTGACTGTTTGTCAGTTTCTCAAATAAGACTAAATTTAAATCAACACAAGGAGGCCCTAGGTGCTTCTAAAGGTTTACAATCTAGTCTTCATACTATGACCACCACAACTTTTATCTTTAGCTTTTTACCTTAAGACCTACATTTCATTATTCAGCTTTATAATGCAGTGTTTATTTCTGCTGCTGATGTGGATTAACAGCAGAATATCCTCGTCATAAATAGATCACAACAAATCTGATAACACACTAAGTTAACAATATTCAACTTCCAGTATACTTTATTTTACACTTATACTTTATATGATACAAAAATATTGATCACAGTGTATTTTCACGGAAAAAACTGAAACTGCATTAAACAAGTTGAAAAATAACATTTAATAAATTATATAATCAATATCTGACATAATACTGAGACATAATTAATACAAAAAGCCCCCAAATAACAACAAATAAATTTGAAAATATTTAAAACAAGTGTCGAGTGTTGGCTCTTTCTTTTAGTCCTTCCATCCATTCCTGGGCTTAAAACAGATGCTCTCCCATTAAAACATCCTTATAGTCAGTGCATTTCCCACCTTCAAACTCCCAGAGTTTCCCATATCTGTACTCTGATCACCTAGGTTTCAGGATCTGCATACCTAGCTGCCATCACAGCTGATGGAGATACTCACAACCAGCGCATCTACAGGGAATGGAGACTTCTACTTGGTAAGTTTGTTATCTGCTCATTAGCATCTTATTAGTGTCTCATTAGCTGCCAGTTAGTCCAGCCGTCTCCAGTGGGATGGTACACAGCGACACACTTCCTCGCTGAAAGAGAAACCTGGTTCACATCTTCGCCTCCTAACCTCGCAGGGAGGCCTGAGACAACTGCAATGAAAAAGGAAAAAACAGGATTAAACACTAAAAACATAACATTAATATTTCTAGAGTAGGACAGGTTATGCTGGTCAAAAAAGTTTAAACATGTTGATTTGGCAGGATAGTGTGCAGAAAAAGAGTTCTTGAAGCATGTCTATTCTTGCACATGAGGATGTTGGTTGATGTGGGCCAGCAAGTTGCAATCAACATTATAATCACATTTCTGTGTTTAGAAATTGTTTTACAGGGTCAGTGATAGAAAGAAGTGGTTGGATTTATACCCATGAAAACATGAACATAGTAGTGTTGTGGCATGGTTGTTAAATTATAGTAAAACTGCTAGTTCATTAGATATCTTGCTTGCCAAGCTGATATACTGACCTGAGATTAACGTTAAGGGAGATCTAATGGAACAGCATGGATTTCATCTACTGGGGACCATGACTGACTGTACTAAACATTATGGAATTCTATATAATAGTGGTGGACTGAGCAGCCAACATTACAGTTCCCAGAGCAAAAATACATTAGGATTAATCCTCTGAGGACTGTGAATATCGACATCAAATTGGAAATCTGACAGTTACTTTTCTAGAGACTTCACCGTACTCTGAAGGGGAGAATGTAAGCAACTTAACTGGCATTTGACTGAGGAGGATGAATCCTTAAGCTTCTGGACACATACAAATAAACATTACTGAAAAGAAAATAATTGTTTCAAACCTTGAAACTGACTCAATCATTTCTTTAGTTCTTTATTTATTGTCCAGTTGGGACGAGGACACATTAAAAACAAGAGCCCTCAGAAAGCACATGTACCTCCAACAAGGCACAACATTCGCTCACACAAATGGGCCCCTTGTGAAAAATGAAATCCTGAGCAGTACAAAATGGGTCCTCAAATCCTTAATCTGGATCAGATCTGGATCATCTTTTAAGCTATGATAGGCAGTTATACTGTGCATCTTAGCTGAACATGTCAGGGTTCTATCTTCATTACAGGCCAAGTTATGGTAGAAAATATGCATTAACAGGGATTTTCAATGTTAACTTTAAATGGCCATCTGATACAGGATCTGGATCAGATCCGGGTAAAATTTGGTCTGGTGATAGACACTGCCACCCTACATACAGTACGTGTGTCAAATTTTGTTGGCGGAGGTAATAAAAGATTGTCATATTAAGGCCTTTTGTTGGCGGAGATAATAAAAGATTGTCATATTAAGGCCTTATAAAGTTGATATGGTGAATGTGTTGGGAAACAGTTGCCTGTTTACTCATCCTGCAGAAATAGAGCAACATTTGCATTTGCTAAGAGTCATGCTTCCAACCATTTGAAATCCAGTATACCTAAATTTGGTATTGTAGAGTATATTGAAGTACAATATGAATTCAAGCCATGCTGACATGGAAAGGCACCATTTTATGTTTCTAAAACACTTGCATTAGAAAATATCAACCTTTTAACAGCAATGTTAAAACAGCGATGTTATCTGTTCATGATGTACTGGAATGGCCAAAGTTCACTGGCATTCCTTTAGGGTCCACAACTCAACAGAGAAATAGTGACTGTAATGGTTTATTTATAGACAGCATTCAACCTGCTTCTAAAGGAATGTTCTGATCAGTATCCTTACCACTGATGGATGAAATCTAATGAATCATATATTATGCAGTTTAATGTAGTCACTTATAGTCTGTATTGATGATTGTCCACTGTTTCCAAGGAGGGTACAAGGTTTCAGTACAGCCAAACTCTTCTGAGAACATCTGCTGTCTCACAAAGATAAACAGTACCTGATTTCTTATGTGTTCTACAGAACAAAGGTTACAAGATTGCATAGCGGTAAAAAGTACAGCCTAAAGAGCTACTGTGTGATTTACTGCCAACATTAGAACAACCAGAACTGTCAACCGAACAGGGTGCCAAAATTGGTCTCCGGCATCCTGAGACTGTGGCCTAAATTCAGTTTGAGGGGATTTTTAACATAACAACAAAAAAGTTAATTTAGGCAAATGTGATTACTTGGATGTTTTATTTTATTTATTGTAATGTACTGATGGAAACTGTCACATATACACAAATTAGTATTAGCAATAGAAGAAAGGCTAATTCCAAAACACTGGTACTGGCCTTCAAAAGCTCATATCTGGTTAACCTCCAGCCCAGAGTCAATGATTGTCCAGTCTTCAAAAGATCACATGAGGAGTGGATCCATGGAATTCCAAAAACATAAACACCAAGTGTTGGAGGGATCAAGCCCTGTTTGATATAGCATTTCTTCAACACAACAAATATTCTATGAATGACATGTAATTGCCACTGCATTTCTGGTAGCACAGGGCTATTATAGTGCATGACAGAATATTTAGATGCTGTTTCTTAAAGAGACCTATGAATCTATGATGAAATGCACAGAAGAGATTAAATACTCACGTGGTCTCATTCAAACATACACACTAGCACAAGTGCCATATACCAGGCACTAGAGTCCTACCACTATGATGCACTCATAAATCACTCTCAAAAAGGGTCACAAAGGGTCAAGACTGGATGAGATGGATGGATGTGTGTGTGTGTGTTTCCTCCTGTGTGAGGAGAGGAAATGGTTAAGCGACAGCCTGGAGAAGTCATTAGCACACTGAGGTCTTGTGTTACATGCCAGGTTCACTGCAATAACCACCTACCACTGTTGGACCAGTGCTGTCCTCTGGCTATGCACAACCACTAATGTTACAAGTGTGTGTGTGTGTGTGTGTGAGAGAGAGAGCGTTAATGGAAATGATGTAACCACTTAACCACTGAAATACAACAAGAACTTTTGCTGCCAAATTTCTTGCAGTGATATAGAAATGCTAATTAGGCCATTCATTAAACTAACCGGTGTATAAGTGAGTTTATACTTCAGTACCAACACACCAGTTTTACATAACAATATGCTATTAGAAATACAGTAATAAAGAGAGTTTATTAATCTGCCAACTGCTTTTCTGTCATAGCCTCATAAAGTAATACAGTACAGTGTAACACAGTTTGTGGGAAACATTCAGTGCCCTTATCTATCTGGCTTGTTTTACTTCGCAGTTTTGTAAATCTTTTGTTTAATTTCTAAATAAATAAGATACAATTTAAGGCGAACACACACTTAAAACCTGCTGCGCTGATTATGATGGTACTTGGGCATGACAACAGATGGAACCCAGTTGGACTGAGTCGGGCTCAGTCTGAGCCAGTTGTTGACAGTCAGCAGATAAAATTGCAGAGCACTATGTAAATATTCTAATCTCAAGTCTTAAGAACCAACGGCTGCCCGTCCTTTTCATAAGGATTTTTAAAAAAAACATGTTTAATATTTACGACTGACATCACATATATGTCACCCAAGGAAGATGTACCAGTAAATAAAAGATAGCCGTCAAGTTTCAAGAATGGTGATTAAAAGGTATTGTAGTGTTAAAGTCCACTGGACAACTGAAGTGGAGGAATGACTGACTGAACTGTGGCAGGAGAATGAACATCTCTACATTACTGTTAATTCGAACACCACAACAGGACTGATACGTTTCAGTTCTCTCTCTGTAGCCTCTCTGTCCAGGTTCACCCAAACTGCACTTTTTTCCCTGATTTTTAGCATTTTCAGCACAAATTGAGCTGAAAACCATGTATAGATATAAACATGCAAGCTGATTGTGTCCATATTTGTTTTGGTTCAAGGAGATGTGAGAACAGGGCCGGCCCATGGCACCGGCAACACAGGACTTGGATGCCAGTGCCTTGAGGGGTGCCACACAAGTGTTTTTTTTAATTAATAGTACTGATGCC